CTACGCGAGCACAAGTCAGCTTCCAGGTGCCTACGCGAATGCCTACTGTTGAGTTCAAGTGTCGGAGTGCACTGTGGCAGCTCCAGCTGGGAAATCGCAACTTTTCAGTACAAGTGCAGTTTTGGCAGCTCCGGCTCCAAGATCAGAATTGCAGTACAAGTGAGAAGCCCCGCATCTGTCCAAGGATTTCGATGCCAGAAAAGGTCTACGTACCCAAAATGCCTTGAAAGCCTACGCGAATGCCTACGCGGGGCCTACGCGGAGCCTACGCGAAGACTGCAGAACAAACAGAAGGAAGGCAAAAGAAGCAAATTAATTTATACTTGGCAAACATTACTGAGTCATGATTTGTTCAACAAACGCCTACGCGAAAAGCCTACGCGAGGGGGACACAACAGCCTACGCGCTGAAGCCTACGCGAGCCTACGCCCCCAACCAGGATTGACTCCGCAAAGTACATGCAGTTCCCTTTTTGTATAAACCCTTTCATTTGATTAAAAAACGCTGCTCATTTGGCCAACTCGCTTTCCCTAGCGATTGGGGGAACCAAAGGGCATGTCAAAGTTTGGAGTGCTACACCCTTGCGAATTGACTACAGGGAGCAAAAAAATCAGGCCTGCCCACTTTTAGCAAGGTTCTTAGGGGTTCATAGAACGGCTCCACGGGCTTTTCTGTACTCCCAAAAAGACACAATCAAGTTGATAGTCTTACCCAACCCAACATGCCCAAACTGGCCGCAGCCAGCTCAACCAAAAGTAGCCGCCCCTTCGATTCCCAAGTATACCCTTAAACATCCCGAAAATGCGCCACAAATGAAAGCTTCACTTTCTCACCGGATGGTGTCACTAAGCAGTAAGCGACATGTTTGTCATGCAGGGGTCACTGGATTTCCCCTTAAACACGTGGCATTCACTGCCGGGTGCCAATATCACGGTTGAAGGTCCCAAGAGAAGTAAATTGAAGGCCCCCTGTCGTAGAGTTCCAGAACAGCCCGAAGGGTCCTAGGCGGTCCTAGGCAGGAACAAAACCGAAGTCCGGATGTGCTGGTCGTGAGCGAGCATCCTGTTTTTCCAACCCCAAGCCTAGATTTGCACTTAAAGGCGACAAACACGGTTGCCACTGGTTGCTGGGGGGGTTGACCGGCCGAAATCGCTTATGCACTCCTTATTTGCTTTGGCACGCCCGTCACCCCTTCACCCCCATACAAAATCAAGAATTAATATCATAGGTATCATAGGTGCGTGTTTTAAAATCGATGAGCCACCAACCGAAGTGCTGTTCTGTTTGTCTATACTGTCTATACTTATCATTTTTGTTTTGGGGGTGGACCCAGTTCCCCAATTGATTCCAAGTCAACAGCTGTGCAAATAGAACTGTGTGCATAAGCGCCCTTACGCCCTTCGAGGATAGGCCAATGGTTCTCTTCGCAACGACAGATTCGTCTCTTTACATACGGTAGCCTTGGCTATCTCTGGCTCACTTGAGTGGAGAAGAAACCGTTCAAATTGCCAATGTTGCCTCCTTTTTAAGAAAACAACTTGGCCGTGGCATATCTCCGAAAGGGAACCTGCACTTGTTTGGGGCCCAATCCTGTTCAACAAGGTCCACTAGTCCGAAAGGACCACCCTGGCAGAGAACAAGGACCCTCGTGTTTACCGTTGTGGTTCGTGGCCAGTGACTTGCGATATTCAGGCGCCTATCCGGCCCTACGTTGACATAGATCCTGAAAAAAGTTCCCTGGTCTGGCCATAAAAGCGAGCCCACTTTGATCGCGCTGCCACGCACCGAAAATCACCCCACCTAGCGCTGATCTTTTTTGGCCCCACAGGGGCAGCGCTTCTCTGAGTCCCGTTTGGGGCGGCACAAGTGCCGCCCGGGTTCGGTTGCAACCGGAGCCGTGGGAGCCTCAAAAGAGAGCTTGAGAACCCTCCTATTGAGCTATTCATGTGTGCCATGACTTGGCTACCAAAAAGACTTGAAGACTAAACGTATCTGAAAGTTGCCCGCATCCACCAACATGGAATCTGACGGAGGGAGGGGGGGTTGAAACACAAATCTCCTCTAAAAAAGAGACCCGGTGGTGGATTCCATGTTAGTGGGCGGAAGGGAAGACTTGAATTATCCACTTGAGCTCCGGACAGGCTGAAACATACCTCAAAGCTGATTGCATCTTTTGAAGCTTGCCAACTAAATTCAATGCCAGACCACCAGTCATCCTACTTGCGTTTCGGACAAGCAGAACAACGCATCAAATCAGTTTAAAACTTGCCATCTAGCGCAAAACTTCAGTGGCCGGAAATGAAGCACACCGTTGTGCTATTCATTTTCAAGGGAAACTGGAGGGGCAGTCCACTGCAGGTTGGATTCTGCCTCAAAAATGTTTGAAACTACGTGCCTGAGCTTCAGGAAGTGCTCGCAAAACAGAGCAACGATTTGCTTTGGGGTGAGGTTCGTATTCCCCAAGTGGGCCTGAGCTTGGGCATGCAACGCATGCCCCCCGGCCCTCCGATCATCTCAATCCCGCTTTTTCAGCGACATGTTGTTGATCTTCTTTCTCCTGGCTCAGCGAGCTGGGCGGCGCGGGTCCCAATTGAAATGAGCATAGCATACGTGATTGGCACCAAGACTTCCAAGAAGACTTCCTGGAAATGGGGCAAGTCGCCCCAGAATTCGAGCCCCAACGTGACAACGAGAACCCGCGCTGAACAACTTCCAATCAGTTGAGCTCAAAGAACTTCCTGGACTTGATGCTTGGTGAGACCATTCTGCTAACACCAGTTGGGATACCCGAGGAAATGAAAGAGACTTTTCTCAGGCTTGGTAAACTGCATTAAGACCTGCAATGGAAACACCCGTGTTTTGCAATCAATCTCGGTTGAACATCATGGGGAATTACCCCCTAGAAAGATAGGTAAACCCACGACCCCGAAAACATGGCATGATCCCAAAATGGGATTCAGAGGGTGGAATCCACTGAACAGCTGGTGGGAGGATCCCCAACTGGGCATCAAACATCGCCAAACGACTATCGTATATCGACAGGTAGCATCAGGCAGGCGAGGACGTTGGGGATCCTCCCACGAGAGGCGGTAGGGATAGCTGCCACCGGCCTGCCCCTCGACTGTTGGCATGTCTCCTTCATACTTAATGCTGGCTGCAAATACCACCCTGGGAAAGTTGATTGCAATGATTCATAAACTTAGTTCACAAACTTCGCTAAGGACCCCCAGGAAAGGAACCAGCCTCTGGGGTGAGCTCGTTTTCCAAGAGCTCGTGAACAACATGTGCAAATCATCCGACAGCATATTGCATTCAGTTCTGCAGCTGATTGCAAAGCCGTCCGCTAACATGAGGCATTCACCCGCCGTCGACATGCTGAGTCTACTTGGATGTTCCGGAAGGCAACGCTGACGCTCACTGCTTGGTTTATCACCAGCTCACCCCCAAAAGAGCCACGATCCTGCTGTTGCAACTCCACGACCCCAGATACGTTTTTTAACTCTCTAACCGCGGCTTCCCCAAACCAGGGTGGGGCGGGGCTCGCCCCCCAGTTCACCGGTCAACCTTAGGAACCCCACTTTACCGCGCACCAAAGCGCCTCGGGGCAACAACGCAGAGGTGGCAGAACTCGCCTAAGGCGGATGAAACGCGGGTGAATTGGGTGCTGCTCAAACTTCTATGAAGGGCAAAGTTAAGACACACTTGGCCCTTGAGCGTGGCTTAATTTGGCTTAATAGTACCCACAACCCCATTCTAATTGTTGGGCCCCATTTTGAGGACCGGGTTTTTGCGACCCCCGCCTGCGTTTGTGCCCGCAAACCAAAAGGCAAATTGGAGGCAAACAAAAAAGGTTTGGGGAAGCAGCAGGGCCCCCTTAACAAAGGGCCCCCTTGACATGCTGCAGGTGTGGTTCTTTTGAGAAGTCTGTACTTGATTTAATCCCCAAAGACTGCACTTTCAAGGGTTAGAGTGGAATACTCCTTGGGGCCAACTATATAGTACGTAAGGCCGTAGCGGTTGAGGGAGATGTCTTTGGGCGGTTCTGGGGTGCAAAGGAGCAAGCAACAATTAAAGTGTGACTCCCTTGGGTAACGAACCCCAAAACCACGTCCGGCCAAAACAGATAAACAAATCCCACATTCTTCAGGCGCCTGGCAAAAACACGCCAACTCCATGTGTCCCAGCTGAGCGACCCTGGTAAAACAGCCCCTTTCTGGGGGTTCCCTTTTTTGAGTGGAGAACCCACCAAACAATTGGCAAACAGTTGAGGGGTACTGAACTGGCTTGGCTTCCTGAAAGACACCAACTTGCTCTGTTTGCCCCAAAGTCCCCAAGGGGTTGATGACCATGCCCGGCAAAAGAATGGCACAAGTAACTTGGAATGCGAAAAAAATGGCACAAGCCCAAAATTGGGCGAGGTTTTTGGGTGCTTTGGGTGGTGGAGGCTCTGGGGGTAGTGAGAATATGTGAGAATCCTACGGATTCTTAGGTGCAAGGAGGAGGGATCACGCTCGGGGTGACAATCAAACAACCGCTCCTGGGTGGTGTAAGCTACACCTAGGCTAATAAGCCCTCCAGACTGTGGAGGAGGTTTGTGGGGCAGCCCATCACATACCCAGGGCTCACTGTTGGAGAATTAGAGGGCTTAAAGTTCAAGCATTTCTCCGCCCAAGTACCTTTTTCATCTCACTTGGGGAGGCACACACGCTTTCACAGGGTGATGGTTCCTAAAGGATTGTAAGTACAAATGGAGTCCCAATTACCCTGATGGACATGAAACCCTGCAAGCCATCGTGTCTAGAGGAATCCTACTTTGCGGACTCTGGGATCCAATTTTCGGGCAATTCGCCTACCAGGGGTTTCCCCAATCTCCATGCGCTGCCAATAAGCCCTGCAAAGCAACAAGTACGCAAAGTACAGGTTTCCAGCTCCAGCTGAGAAATCACAACTTTGTTGTACAAGTCTAGTACGCGAAGCACAGGTTTCCGGCTCTAGCTTGAGCCTAAACCATGTTTCTACCCTCTCTTTTTTTGGTCATGGATTTGTGCCCGAGTCGCACTCGGCGCCGGCACGGCAGGACTTGGTCTGCAGAAGTTCCAGGCACGGCTTGCCTCGGCTTCATTTGTCGCTCCGCCTTTCAGACCGGACAGGGGGCACAGTGGATCTCAATCGAATGCTTTTCTTTGAAGGGTGCCCCTTGTCTTTCAAGAAACACCCAAGAAACACTGCCCATTCCGAGGACTCCCTCGTTTAGCTCATTTAGGCACTCAATGGCCATGAAACTGGTACCTTCGCAAAAGATAAAGGCGAAGCTGAGGTTTCCCTGGGCCATCCGCTTGCTACAACTTGGGCTTCCGGGCACTTGCCGCTGGCGTGCAGCGCATCCGCCACTGCCGCGGCATCGCCTCAATACTGTTGAGATGCCTTTGTGAAAAACCCACAACCTCGACCTCAGCTTCAAAATCATACGTTGGACTCTGGCTCATAGCGACCGAAGCTTCAAAGTGCAAAGGAAAAAACTGGGGAGGGCGTCCTTCCTCCCCCGCGCTCGAAAAGGGAATTTACAGGGAAAGGATGGCGAAGCCCAGCAAAAGGGTTCCTTACCGGATACATCCAAAAACCCACCGGCTCTAGATGGGAAAAACTCTCAATCGGCTTGTTTTGGGCGGTGTAACTGCAACATGTATATCCTCTGGACCCAGGAGACCGACAAATCGCCGCGTCTAAGTCCCGGGCCGGCTTCCGCGTCGTTCTGCATGAGATCCCGCAGAACCGCCGTCGGGTTGGCCTCGCCTGAGGTACGACATCCACATGACTGGTTTGGACCAAAGCCGGCCACTGAAATGGTCTTCCCAAGTGACGAATGCTCAACTCAAGAAGCGAGGTCCTTTCTGCAGGCCCCAGTCAGAAAAGCACAAAGCCGCAGAGCCAAAGGGAAACGACGCGACCCTTGATTCGTTGGGAGAGAAGCCCGTCGCAACCCCTCCTCAAGACAATGGCAAAGTGTCTAAGCCTTCTGGGACCAGGACCTCTGCCTTTAGAATTCCACTACGCAACAATGCAAACAAAAGAAAGGCCAAAAACCAGTCATGAACCAGCAAATTGGGAGCCAGAAAGGCACGCACTGTTCATCCAAGAAACCCTTTGCGGCAAAACCTGTAGATCAGCTGGTACAAGTGATCTCTTAATTGGACCAAACGTATTCTTTCAGGGACCCTGTGTTGGTTCTCTTCATGTTCCTTGCACGAGTGGCTTGGAATCTCGCCAAAGACCAAAGAAATATCCCACCCATCTGGAAATCGATCAACGCGTCAAGTTTTGGCACACCCCTTGCACTTTGTATCATCTCAGCTGCAGGAATCTGACAGGCCCTTCCCTGTACCGGCCCTCAGGTTACACGTCAGAAAGGGTACGGCGGATAAAAAGAACTAACCACACCCGCAATGGTCTCGAAATTTGTGTTTATTTCTTGCAGGGCCGGGTTTTCAACTTGTTCCCCAACCTTCATCACTTATGGCACAGTAGTTCCCGAGCTTCCTCGCAAATGAGATTCCTTTTGAAGGTGCAATTTGTGCGAGAAATTATGGGCGGCCTATTGCAACTGATGTCATACTTGCCAGACCGTGCACAAAGGGCCCTGGCAAGGGGAAACCAAAAGAAACCAATCCCATTTTGTTACCTTTGGGTGTTAAAAATGGATTCTATGGATGCAGAATTAGGTTGTGAAAGGAAGATCATGAAACCCTGAGAATCAAAGGTGCATGATAGAGAATCTGGAATCTTGGATAGGTTCTTAGAGACAACTCGCGAAAGCGGGAGGGATAGGTAGAAGTCATTGAACCTCCAACCCATTCATCCCCTCTTCATACCTTCATAATATCTAGGTGTGAATGGGTTGGGAATCAAGGACTTTTATTGCTGTTCTCCCAGCCCCTTCCTGGCTGGTTATCTTCTTCCTCACTTCCTAACTCTCGGAGCAACCATGGTTGTTTCGGTTTCAGCCGGATGCTGTGTTCTACCCAGGGATTGCAGCCTTCACTGGCCTGTTTCTGGGTTGGTCGATCTTGAGTGGAAACCCACCTGAAAAAAGGGGCACTGAAGGAAGGCCTATGCCCTTGACAAACCCGCGCGCCTCCGTTCCGTCTCTGCCAGTCTCGACCTCGAACACACAGTAATTAGGTTCGTGCGAACTTCTCCTTGGTTTCTGGTACCCAGCTTCGATCAAAAACACACACAATCATCTTCAGATCTTCGAATGGAAGCTCGCGGCGTGAGCCACAGGAGGGTTTTTCATGTAATTCCCATCCGCGTGTCCGACACAAAAGCGCCAACATCTGTTGCAGCCAGTTTTAAAGAAACCAGTCGGAGCACTAAAACAAGTCATGTTCTGTAGCGTTCAAATGAGCAAAATACCCGGGTCTGCAGCCCACAGTGAATCAACAAAACAACAAGGCGAGTCACAACCAACACCTGGTCACGTAAAGTAAAGAGTCGAGAGCTCGGCTGCACGTATTAAATTACGATCATCTACGCAGGTGTTGATTGTGGCTTATATACATGTCAACGCTGCATGTTGATTTGTTGTCGCGTCTTTCCAGGGCATGTTCAGGGAACAAAAATCCAGCCGGCTGAATTTGGGCACTATCGACTTTAGCCTCTGCATCCAAAGGAAATCCCTACCTGAAGTGACCAAATATGTGTTCCTCAAGTCCCTGGAAAATGACGAGTTGATATTCTTTGGGCCACGTTTCAAGTGGTCTCCTCCCCGGATTGGGAGTTGGGAGAAAGCACGGGAATACACAGACACCACGGTGAGGGCGCCGTACTCTTGCGAGGCCGAGGCATTTCGGAAGACGCCCGTTTTTTGGGGCGCTCGCGTCGCTGGGCTTCGGAAATCGGTTCCCTTTTCACGGGCTGATTACATACTTGAATTCTACCCATGGCCAATTGGACTCCTTAAGCTGGCTTCCCACAAGGCATGGCGAATTTGGGATCCCTTTTTGTTGCAGGGCCCCTTTGAGAAAGAAGCGAACGGTTCCCATATCTGGGCGCTAAGCGAGCTGCAGAACTCTCCGGTCTCTCGCGCCCGCCTCCTGGGTCCCGGCTGGGAAGCCAATGCCGTGGATTGCGCTCTGAGAAGCCAAAGGCGCCTGAGACGTGCGATGCATGTGATACGTCCCATTTGACTGTCTTTTTTGTAGGAAACCTCCAAACTGGTGTTCCTCCTGGTTGCTTTTAAAACCACAAAAAAAAGCTGCAAACACCAATTCAAAAATGCAACCCCCCACTTCGGAACCTACCCGGCCCTACCTACTCAAGAGAATGGCAAAATTCGTCAGTTTTGGGCCAAATCCACGGAACCGTCTGTCTCCGCGACGTCTGTCCAGAACCGTCAAGGCGAGGACCTCCCAACAAAACAATCCCGTAAGAAACAACGGGAGAGGGGGAGCTGTCTGCAGAACCTATGAGTTTCAATGCCGGGCTCACGGGGTACATGGTTGAGTCGCGCGCACCCGAAAGCGGGAGTCCAAAAACCGGGCTTGGGGTTGCGGCTTGTCCTCAATCTAATTGGGGCACGCAATAATGTCCAGCCCATCGACCATCCAAGGGGACTTCTCCTTTTCCGGGCCTCTTTTGATGACCTTTTTTTCCTCTATTCAGCTTCCCTCCAATTAGTGGTTTGGATTAGCGGTTCCGAGAACAATTGGTTCAAATCCCCACACCCCCAATCCAAACCGCCAACTGGTTGTTGCCTGAATGGTAGTTGCACCAAATCCCGACCTGCCATCATCCCAAGCAACTTTTCTGGGTTTGTACCCCTTTGAGATGAACATCAAGGCCTTCTGGGGCCGAATTTCATTCTCAAGGGGCAGGAACCCAGGCTCACCAGGGCTCCGTCCTTGATGGCAAACACACAGCGTGGTGCTTCCGCAATCCAGACAGGCTGGAGCTTCATTCACCTCGCTGCGCGCTTGGTTCGGGGACCAAACAGACGAGATTTTTCAGGAAATTGGACGAACATGCCGAACACCCCGAATCAGCAGCTGGTTTCTGAGGTTATCTGCCCCTTGAAGCCCAGTTTGATGATAGATGGGACGTGCGGCAAAGAGTCATAAAGTTCCTCCTATCAGCCACAAACACACCACTCCCAAACACATTTCCAGTCTGGACCCTTTGCAAACGCTGGACTCCCCTTACCATGGTCACACAATCTCTGCTGGAAATGGCTGAAAAATGTCGAAAACACCTGAAAGGACACCTCGAGGGCATCGAACGTGATCCCTCTAAATTGTAGATTCATGTAGCTTCCCTTCAAAGCTGGCGCAAATGGCACCCGCAGTGTCAGGCAGGCAAGCCCTTAAACGAGAACGAGTGTCCAGAATCCCCTCAAGCTGTCAAAGTTTCGTTGGTTCCTATAAGGGGTCATTGAATTTCAACTCAATGGATCTTTGTGTTTGGTGGTCGCTATTTGCTGCCACTGGATTCCCCCACTCCGAATTTCCGAACGAACTCTTGGCCACTTGGCTCTCAGACTCAAGTCTAAATGGCAAGGCTTTGAAGAGGGCGTGCGACAGTTCGAAATTTACGGAGAGGCCTAAGTGTACCCAACCATTCTGAATCCAATCTCAAGCAGCGGAGTGTTAGCGGCTTCTCAAAAGAAGAAATGAAAATGATGGGATGAAACTGATGAAACTGATGCCGGTTTTCCGGTGGGGCCTCTCAAAAAATGACCGTTGGATTGCGGTGTTTAAAATCATGCCAACAAGAAACATGCCTTGTAGCGGTCCCCTATTTATCTTAAGAAATACCAAAACTTGGCTCCAAAAGTCTGAAGTTCTTGAACCACAAAGTAGTCCTCAGGTTTCCAAACATCGTCTTGTCTGAACATTTGGAGGAGTAAGCCGCTCTCATGGACACTTCGGGGGGCTATCGGTCTCCCCTTCCCATGCGAATCGTTTCGGAACCCAAAGGGAAGACAATGCTGGTCTTTGGGTTCGTGAAGCGGAAGGGTCAGAGCCCTGGCCCAGCTGTTGCCCCCAACCCCAAACAAAAACCGATTTGCTTCTAGCTCATACTTGGCGAGCCTTCAAAATGTAGCAAGAAGTCAAAAGAGAGTCCAGAAAAGGATATTCCTCCAACACCGAGTTTGTGTTCAAACGCTAAGGCCACAGATCGCCTTGCAACTTGCGCACAATGCCAAGACACGCCCATTTGCATATCGCAGGGGTAGGTGTAGATATCGCCAATCTCTCGCCGCCGACGTGGGGGCATTGTCCTGGCTAGGGGGCAGGACAGGGTTCTTTGCATTTCTGGTTGGGACTGTCGGCAACTACAGTACCCTTCGCTTACCAAGTCAAGGCTTTTATTGTGACCCATGTTTCCAATGTGAACATCACCGCCAAAAGGAAAGCCACATCCAAATGGCCAAAAACATGATTGAGCTTGCCAAGGGAAAATATAAGACACCTGTGAACTTCTTGCCTCGTGTGCTACGAGGGGCCGGAAAAACTAGAAACCAGAAAGGGCAGGCCAAAAGCTCGCATCATCGTTTGCCAGCCAACGCTGCCTCTTTTACCCTCCTTTATAGTCCGTATCCCCCCCCCCCCCGCAGCTTGCGAACCCTGCAATCGAAACAGGCGGCAAGGCATGCGTCGGCAAGGCATGCGTCCGGGCAATTCGTCAAGGAAACCAACCAAGTCCAGACAGTCCGGACTCCTAAACCCGGGGTTGGTTCATGCCTCCAAAACCTGGGAGGAAAACCTGGGAGGAAGCGTGACCCACTGGCGCAATCGCCAACAGCACTTGGCCAAAGTTCAAAGGCTTGGGCAGCGTTTCTCTGCGAAGGACCAGCCCTTCTCAACATCAACTCACTTGACCAAAGGACCTGCAAATAACAGGTGATCAATGGTGATCACCTTTGGAACCTCGATGACCCTGGACGGATTTAAACCAAACGGCCAGATTCGGGCCATTTGCTTTGGCTGTTCAGGCCCTCACCCTGCGCTCCCAAAATATCCTCATAAAGGTTTGGGACCAGCCGCTGAAGGGAGTGGGATTGGATCGGTTTGGACGAAGCCTGGCCACCGTTTTGGAGGCACCCCTATGTGGACACATGCCCATGTCCAACCTATAAACGCCATACCAAACGGCAAATCACGTTAAACTGGCCCAATGTTGATGTCCATCAACATCAAGAGGCACCACCAAAAGCACGGGCTTTTTGCTAACCAATCGTGGATGTTATTGAGAAGCAGTGGTTGCAACAAGTCCGGCAGTTGGTCCCACCCTTTTGTTTGGATGCTGGTCAAGAGGGCATTTTCAGAAATCCTGCCACGTTCACTACGTAGCTTCCTTCGAGGTGGCAATCACCCAAAAAGAAACAAAAACTCAAACAGGTTGGCACACTGGGTGTGTCTCAGAATTGGGGCAATTCAGGAATGATTGGTTTCCTTTTGAACAAACCCAAAGTGGGGTACCACCTCAAACAATGGCAACGCGAAGCATTGAAGGCTGGCTGAACGTCAACTTGAATTGCAGTAGAGCATAGCCATTACAAGCGGGACAACAAAGATTGGTAGATGTGCAGCAGAAGATGTGGCCTACATTCACGTTCTTACTAAGTGGGCCGGACTTAAACATGTCAGTACCCGATCTCAACATAATAAAGTGCTGAGTGACACGACAAAATGCAAGATAGGGTCCACACCCGCTTACCCCTTGATCCCCCACCACGCCCACCACCACCACCACCAAAACAATAACAAGACTAACCAATATCAAGGGCATTTCCATGTATGGGTTTTTGGAGGTATGGATCCTTGTATACCAACCCAAACAGATTGTAATGCAGTATACGCATCTTATATATGATGGCACAACATAAGCTCCATACCACCCAAGCCCATACCTGAACATGCACTTGACAATGCTGAGCGAATACTAAACCAGCACAAGGCAATGCTGAACCAGTCACCACATTAGAAAGGGCCGAGCAATTGCACATTCATTATTCTCAATATGATCATGCTGAAATTTTGATTTACAGTACCTCCCCCCCCTCTGGCTATGTGAGCCAAAATTACGACCACCGGCGCCTCATCGGCGTCGGATAGGGCGCTGTGCCCAGGACCACGGGCGACGCTCCGAGTCCGCCGAGCCCGGCGATTCCGCCGGAGGGCGCGGAGGGCACCGGCGCCATCGTCGCCGCGGCCGAGGCCTGGGAGGAGGGGAAGGGGCCTAAGGGGGGGAGGGAGAGAGTTCATGGAGGGAGAGGTTGGAGGGTGTGGGTGGGTGGGGTGGTTGTCTAGGTTCATTCCCAAACTCCTGGTTCATTCTGCGAGCCAAGGTAGGCAAACATGTGGGCTGGGCTGTACAAGACGGACACGTACATGTACCCTCCAAGAATTGTGGAACAGGAGGGATTTGGAAGACTATCGCCCCAGGTCCACTTCCATGGTTGTCCATTGGACACGCGCACGCACACACACGTGCAGGCAGACACACACACACACACACAAAGACACACACACATAGACAAACACGCACGCACAGACACACAGACACACAGACACACAGACACACAGACACACAGACACACAGACACACAGACACACAGACACACAGACACAGACAGAAACACACAGAAACACACAGAAAACACACAAAAACACAAAAAAACACCAACACAAACACGAACACAAACGCGAACACGAACACGAACACGAACACGAACACGAACACGAACACGAACGCGAACACGAACACGAACACGAACACGAACACACACACACACACACACACACACACACACACACACAAACACACACCCACGCACGCACGCACGCACGCGCGCGCGCGCGCACGCGCACGCGCACGCGCACGCGCACCCGCACCCGCACCCGCACCCGCACCCGCACCCGCACCCGCACCCGCACCCGCACACGCAGACGCAGACGCAGACGCAGACGCAGACGCAGACGCAGACGCAGACACAGACACAGACACAGACACAGACACAGACACAGACACAGACACGCACACACACACACACAAACACACCTAAACACACCTAAACACACCTAAGCACACCTAAGCACACACACACACACATTATATATATATATATGTATATATCAGTCCCCGTTAATCGTCCGCTTCACATATGCACTTCAACCAAAACAGGAGTTTTTGCAAGTGGTTGCTCCAGGGCTATTGTATGTTATTATCAGTCACAATTTCCCAGGGTCTTTTTGGCGTCCCTTTAAACACGCAAACATTGCACCACTGAAAGAACTCATTTCTTGATGGCCGTGAAAGTGCAACAAATGGTCCTGCAAAACAAGAGGATGTAACGAACCCCTGACTCCCGATGCCATGCAACCCGCGATGACTTGAGGATGCCCCAAAGCCCGGGGGCAAATAAGCTCCCCCTACAATGGTTACAATCTTGCTATCTTGCCAGCAGCGTCCAGTGATCCACACAATGCGAACGTCATTGCTGCCTGAACACAGGCCAGCAGAAACACAATCATTCACAATCTGTATGGTTGGACCACAACAAGCAGAAACACACAACAAATATCTAAACAGCACAGACAATGCTAAGTGAATGCTTTGCGCATAGTCGGTAAGACAAATCCTGAAAAGGCACCATCCTTTTGACCGCACTATCCTCGGGACGATTGCACAATATGTAGGCTGGTGGCAAGTCTCCAAGGAAGAACATCGACACAGCCCTGCTGAAAGCTGAGGGATATCCATTGAGCACTCGGAGGGTCTATCCAAATACGGGGAACCAACCAAGGGGGGTTCCCGTTGGACCAACCCCAGGCACGAGGAAAGCGCATAGATTGCCGTAGCACCCCCTACGCCCACCAAGCGGCTGTGCCCTCCAAGCGGGTGTGCTTGTTTCAGGGTTGCTTTTTCGGGTAGTTTTAAAGGAAAACCAACAAACAACTATCTTATTTCTTACTTTTCGGGGGCCTAACCACATACTTAAATGCTGTAAAGCATGGCCTCAGCTTCCGTCGTTTGGAACATCTACATTCGAAGCAAGAAACATGTTTCTCATGTTCGATTCTGGCCCCTCGAAGAGCTATCTTCAATATGCGTGCGCGCTTTTCATGAACAGATCGTCCCCCCCATATGTGGATTTCCACCTTTCTCCTTAGCAACCCCAACCAAAAAACGTGCGAAGCCCGTCGCGCTTTCGCGGAAAGCCTCCGGTTGAAGCCGCTCGGCAAGATTGATGAAGTGCGCCTCCCGGTTCTCCCAGCCTGCGGCGGCTCAAAATTGAACTTACTGAAAAGCAGCCAGGGTTCCTCAAAAGAAATGTCCCTGAAAACCGCATGCTTTGAACTGCTTCACAAGTCAGCCGGTTTTCAGTGACTTGTTGACTAGATTTGACGAATCCCGCTGGGTCTCTCGCCTCCAGGTACCGTAGGCACAGTGCCAGAAGCCTCCCAGGGCACTGGCCTGGCGGGCTTTGGCGCGGAAATCACAAAAGTCTTGGGTGGGGCTGTGGCTATATACTTGCTGGAATATGTATACAAATATGGTGTTGTTATCTGGCTATGCGCGTGCCATACAGACGCACACACAGACAGATATGTATATATATATATGTATACACATACACACACACACATATATATATATATACGTATGTGCAACTGTATGCATATGTGTTTATATAGATATGTAGGGACAAACATTAACTTTTCCTGACATCTTTAGTGTTTATGCCTTTATATGCTTGGTATGTATGAATTCAAGTTTCCATTTGAAATGCGCCAGGCAGTGAACCCAACAAACAAGCTGTGTATAGTCCCCTCCACATATCCTCCATACAGGACGGTATCTAAATTGTATAAAGTTCGAAGGATATAGCTTCCATTGACAAAGGCCGGTTTCACATTTCTTGGAGGTAACAACAGTTTGTGTGGATTGAATTGGCCACCAACAGAAAAGGAACAAAGGGCACAACTGGATGTCTGGGTAACCGCACAGCTATCATGAGAAACCAACTGAAACACCCCGGCATCTTCTGCTTCATGCCGGTTCGGTTGGACTCCCTTTCTATATGCAGGGCTGTTTCACCGAACCAACGCCAACCGTGGAAAATGCACTACCAGGTTAGGACCTTTTCGCCCGAAGAATCCAGAGGCACTTCACAAAGGGGGAAGGTGGAATTGATTAGTGGGTTCCCACCTCTTGTTTTTTTACAAACAAGCGGCCCCTCAATGGATGTGCACCCATCGGACCCTTCTCTCCGTACTAATTGGGGCGATGGCCATGGTATGTGCAGCTGTCCGTGTACAAACCTCGAGGGTGTCTTATGGCGTTGGTAATGGGCCCCACTGCCCCCCCAAAGCATCCACCACTGGGACACCACCAGGACACCAACGCGCCCCCTGATCTTGGGACCAAGGGACACATGGACACTTTCCGGGCAGTGTATTAGAGCCCATGGACACTACAGTAGTTGTAAACCACGCTGCAAACACAGAACTTACACTTTCCACTCAAACAGTACCAACCAAAAAGAAGCGCTGCAAGTCGGTGGACCCCCCTCAGTCTGAAAGGCAAGCAACGTGAAACGTGCACATGCCTCGGGGGAAATGGATTCCTTTTTGGGAAACCGCAATATTCTGAAACCCGCGGTTGACATCAGGGAACCCCGGGGTCATTGGATTGTGCGTTCACTGTGACCATTCATTGGTGTTCCACATTTCTAGCGGGCTCGCCCCTGACGCTGCAAATCCTAGACCTTCCCTGTATACACACCTAAATCCTTTCAAAACAAGTACAGGCCGGTAGCAACACACAATGAATTCCAGACCAGTTGACTATGGTTGGGTTGTTAGGGTTTAGTACGGAGAAACCGAAGGCGTCGGTTTGACAGCTGTCCTGGATAGGAGTCGAGCTTCGACTTGTCAACCAGCTAACTGAAAAACTGTGCTCAATGGCTCTGGCCGCCCACTCGGCGGAGGGAGAAGCCAAACCCAACAAGTCAATCATGGGCAAATGCCGAACATCCGAACAGGCGAAACCGCAGTTTGCAGGGCGCAGGCTTCTCTTCGCTGCAACCATCCTATATTTTACCCGTCCAAAGCCTCTCGGACTGCCTCTCGGGTGCAGCGGTCTGGTACTGGCCAAGAGCGGGCAAATGAAAGACTCAGGTCACCTGCCAACAGCCAAGTGTAGGTGTCCTTAGGAAAAGTTCGCCCTGGCTTGTTGACAACTCAACTGATCATTCGCGCAAAGACCCAGGCGCTAGAGGCCTCTCAATCAAACTGGGAACCCATTCATGGATCATTGTTTCACTGGACATTCTTTGTTACTAAGATACTGCAAACCAATCACAAGACCTTGAGAACTTAGATACCTGCATTTTAGGAACTCACCTGTTTGGGACGAAACCATGGCCCCAAACCCGCCCTCCCCCCCCCCCTGCAGAACAAAAAAAACAACGAATGAACCTTTTCCTGGCGGATCCTGATCGAAGGCCTGGAGAATCTCTCTGGGGTTCGCTGTGTGACCTCAACTCCGCTCCTGCTCGGGCACGCAAATGTGGCAGTACTCGCCTGGGCGATGCGGGGCAGCTTGCCAGCGCACTTCAGGGCCCCAGGCCCTCAAGAAACTCTGTAAGACACTGTAAGATGTACCCAGCTGCAGCCAATGACCCGATTGAAGTAGAAAGAGATAGAAAGAGGGTAAGCATTTCTTGTTCGAAGCGTGGAGCCCCGGGCAAAGTCACAGACCAGTGGGCAGCTTGTGCTCAATTGCAGCATTGTCCTTGTTCCCCTTGCAATAGCCCCGGCTCGACAGCTCATGATCTTACCACAAGACGTGAAGTACTACAGGTTCCATGGTGTTGCCTGCTTCATCTTTACTTCCTTAGCTCAAGCCTGGCTCTCAAGCTGGCTGCTTGAGCGAAATACAAATCGGAGAGCGCGTCAAGCAACGCCTCGAGACCTTTGCCAGGGCGCAATCCGCACCGTCGGTGCACCCAGCCGAAGTCAAGCGGAGGAGGCATGGCCTCCCGACGCGGTGGGCGACGTCATCCAAGGCAGGCTCTGAACCCAGGGTGTCCCCGAACTGTGTTTAAGCCAGCCGGTAGTAAAAAAAAACACTGAAAAGGAGGTTTGTTGCAAAAATAGTTGCTTGATCCATGAGAAACCTAAGGATGTGGGGGTAAATGCTGTGAGCCAATGCAACATAATGCAACCAAGCGCCACTGGAGAGCTCTGCAGGCCTTCCTCTTTGCAAGGAGACGATGTAAGTCACATAGGCGCCAACATCTAATTTGCAATTCTCTGGAGATGTTGGACTCTCCAATGCATTTTCCACCAGGGGCAGTCCCTGCGAAAGATTCGCCCGACAACCGGAGCTGCTCAATTGGCCAACCCCAGCTAATGTTTGTCAGAAAAACTGTGGCATATAGGCTGAAGGAAGGACAGTGGGCTTGGACCCTCTTGTGGGTTGATTCTTTTTCCCGGAAACACAAACGAAACCATTGCCGTTGTTCACCGTGCCTTTTATCTCAAACTGATACAGTTAGTGGTTGGTGCCAGCTGAGATGAGGCGAAATCAAAACTATGTTCAATGTGAAATTGCCAGCTCAGGCACATGTGCAGGAGATCGTATTGTGGGTTGGCAGGCATTTGGGTGCATCATGTGGCAGCGGAAGGGCGGACTTGCGTCAAACAGCCTCCCGTCAAACAGCCTCCCTTGATCCGAGCCGGATTTCCTGACCTCTCGCTGATTCCCAATGAAGGGTCCAAAAGTTTGAACCTCGTGTGGGATTTCGCCGGGACAAGCCGGAGGAGCAAACTGCTCGAACCCTTGGAAGCAAAAATATGTTCAGGGGTCCCTTCCCCAAACAGCCCACACGTTTCATTTTGAAGAAGCACGACTGCTGAACACGCAAACGCGCACACACACACACACACACACACAACCCAAGCTTCACATCAAATAAGATTGGTTGCGGAACCGCCAGAGTCACTTGTCTGAATCTGAAAGAACACCACAAGCCTTTAGATTCATGGCGAAGAGTGCAAACCAGCACTGGAGCCGAAGGAAACCACATGATTATGACATCATAACGTCGGGCAACTGACATCATAACCTATGTACCTACCGCGGCCAAGGCTATGTCAAGCCAACTGGTTAAACAACTTGTGTGCAATGAGAGAGGCGGCCTTCTTCATCGACGTACCCGTCTCGCTGTAGCATGGACATTAGCGAGCCAACAAGCAAACATGCGCCCAAGGAACAGTGAAGAGGCGCCATGGTTGTTGGATCCTAGGTTGGACAAATATTCCCCACGCATGGCATGTCAGCAATACAGGACAAATGTTGCAGGCGCCGGTGCCACTCGGAAGAAAACAAGCAACACGAAGAACCTGAGCAAAAGCAGCCCATACGACATATAACACCAACATAACTAAAATATAATCAATAATGGTTCAGTCTTTCGGGTTGCGTATATTCCTGTCAAGTGGTTTTAATGACATCATTGGCCTGCTGTTTGCCTTCAACAAGCAAGCCAACCTGTTTGACAGAGTCACGGGCAACTAGGGTGCTTGGCTCATGCGTCTTTGCGTTCTGCGCCCGACTTTGAGACAAGACTCGGGCCTCAGGAGGTGATGGGAAATTCAGTTCTCGCTTAAATATGGGTCGACCATGTTTGGCCCCACATCCAACAAACGGACATTGGATGGTGGCAGAAAAAGTGGAACCCTTTTGGAGGTTCACAGTCTTTCAAGGACATGTTCAACTATGGCCACCAATATGTAAGCTTGTAAGGCGGTATGCACCCTTATTATGTAATATGTCACCTCAGCTACGAAACCCACACCTGAGCAAGTTTTGGTTGAAGTGTATCGGCCCTATACACTGGAAGCCATGACTGTGCGGAGCCTCTGCGGGTGTGCAAAACCCTGGAAGGGTGCCTACACGAGCCTAGGCGGTAACATGTGCCTACGCGGAGTGCCTACGCATACTTTTCTGGGGCGTTAGGCTCGAGTCTTAACAACAAGTTTGTGCAAGGTAAAACACGCCTACACGGACTGCCTACGCGAATCGCTGTCCCAACCAGAATTGCCTACGCGATGGCTCCGCAACATAAAAGGCCTTCAGCGAATACATCGCAAAAAAAAAGACTGCGCACCTAAACATGCGTTTGATTCTTTTGAGGACCCACCAAGCACACACGGGACAAAAACACTGTGGCCGCTGGAGAAAAATGAAGCCGTTCTATTCTGGCTTTCCCTGCCTGCACTCCTGAAATCCGTGGCCCTCTGAACCCCTGGACCACCCGGACCTGGCGCGAAAGCAGCGGTGTCGGATGCGAATGTGGAGCTACCCAGGCGAAACACAAAAGAAATAGGGCCCTATAGGGCGGGACCACATCCCCAGCCTCACCCAGAAAGGGGAAATCTACGGACCCTTTATATACTTTATCTTTTTTCCGCTTCTGTTACCCCCCCTTTGAAATACATTGCTTAGAAAGGTTCATGTTGGAAAGCCTGCATTTGCACCGCACCGTTCAGATGTTCTGTGGCTGGCTGGATCACTTGTAAATATTGCAGTAAGAAATAACACGAACCTTTGTGAGATCTTTCTTCCCTTAAAACACATTAGGCTGTGTGGCTGTTTTAAAGTTGGCGCCCTTGTTTCAGCTTGGCATCGGGAACGTCAATAGCATGTTCATTAAAAGGGCGCCAGGCGACACCCGCCCCGTCCCGCTTGCGCCTTAGTTCCTCCCAGCGAGGCCTGCGGATAGGCACAACCGAAGCTCGGTGCCGGTATTGCTCGATGCCACGGTTCTTAAACCTCCAAAGGATCACCACAGAAAGAAACCAGTAAACATTGGGCAAATGAAAACACTATCTATCCCCTGCGGGTTCCTGTTAGGAAAGCTACACGATTTGCCCAATCCATTTGGCAAAGCAAACACACATAAAATGTGTTTGGACCTCTCGCCGCCGGACAGGTTCCAACCAAAATTAAATAACGAAAAGCAGGTCACGCTGTCGAAAGCTCATGGCTAGGTTGGGCGTTGACCCATGTTTTGTCACAACGAACAACCAGGAGCACACAAACGATTAATCCCAAACAGTGCTTCAACTGACACAAGGTTCAGCTGGAAAACACGCGGAGTCGGGCTTCTGCCACTCTCGGTTCCAATGCTCTACGTAATGCCTCGGGGTGTGGGGGCGAGTTTGCACTTTTATGCACAACCCGCCCTCCCGCCTCTCGGAGCGCCTGAAAGCGACGCAGAATGGGGGCATGGGGGTGGCCTCCAAACAGGGGTGCAGCGCCAACTGCTTTGCAGCCATCAAATGGCGAACCCTCTGTGCACTCTAGCGGGTGGAGTTGTTCGCTCGCTGACACTACCCTGTGCGGGCTTGACCTATTGTGGTTTAATGCTTATTTACATTTGAACCCTCTGCAGCATGAGAGGGAGAAAGAGAGAGAGACAGAGGAACAAAAAGGAGAAACATAAAGAAGGGAAGGAGAAGAGAAAGAGAGAGAGACAAATACAAGCCAAATAAAGAGAACGAAGGATGTTCAAAAAACAACGACAACACAAAAAAGAGAATAATAAAGCAAACGGGACAGGATTAATATAGTATTGATACGGTGAAACGGTTGAAACGGACAGAGACGCGGAAGGGAACAATAAGGATAATTGAACAACATAGAAACAGCACACATAAAAGGCAAATACATGCATACATGTGTATATAAACAAACAAAAGGCGAGATAAGGGCACATAAGCGCCTTCCAAACTATGGTTCTAGCAAATATGTGCATATATTTGACACTGCCGCCCCCCCACTTGCTTTACTTGAACGTAGTCGGGCCCCGTCGAAAGAGAGCTCAACGATGTAACCCCTGAACACCAAAAAGTGGAGCCACCGCAAAATGTTTAAGCGGTTGATCCTCGAGTGAACGGTTTTGATCAGAGCCCCTGGAAGAAACTCAACCAAGGCCCCACAAGGAAACATACGGTAACACACTCCGTCTCATTTGCACAGGGACAGGTTTATAGCCTACTACCCATGTCAGATGCAATTCCTCCAAAGTAGGTTCCTTGAGGCATATGATCTAGCAGACTGAAGGTGAAACCCTTTCAGTAAGCTATTTGCCTCATTAAGGTCAACACCACAAACGTTGTAAAAAGCTCATCTGGAACCTTGCAACGAGTGAACATCTGTGACAACCCCTAGTGTTTCCCTGTGGCTGATTGGATGACCTGCACAATGGCTACCAACCTCCAGTTACTCGAGTGCCACTCAAAACTGCCCAATGGAATCCAGGATTAATAAGCCCCTGGTTCCTGGTTGCTTCATTGGGGGATGATCGCCACCCTGCATCCCTTGTCACATGTTCACGCGCACGGCACAAGAGCGTCACAAAGGCCAATTTTGGATACAGCGAGACCCTTGGGCTGCTATAAAAGGGGAGCGTGCAGGGAGGTTGGATTCCTTTACAGGTGTCACAAAACCCGGTTCCGCCCGGAAGGAAACTTCTGGAATCCAAGGCGCTCCGCGGGTCTCTCCGCGGGTCTCTCCGAGGCTCTCTCCGAGGGTTCCTCCCAATCCTTCCTGGCAGGAGCTGGGGTCGACAACTTACAACGTGAAGTCATTCAACTCAACGAACCTGAAAACATGTTTGTTCAAATGCATCAGTCAGTCCAGGTCATGTGCCGGAATTCCGGCGGGGCATGCGCGGTGTTACGTCACCCGCCCTCTGCAAGCAACATGGGCGCCCGCAATGCCCCGGCACAGAATCATTTGCGCCAGGTGCAGTTTCCAAAGATTAGAAGAATCGGAACCCTTTTCGGGGTGGGGAAACCACCAAATAAGGCTTTAAGGATGAAATCCACTAAACGACAGAAAGCCAAACAGGGCTTACCGATGCGCCATGACATCGTGAGTGCGTCTCGACCACTGCTCCTACTTGCCACAAAGGCGGGGGGCCCCAAACATTGGGGTCTTCACGAAAACATATGGAAGGATGTTCATGCCTGGACCCTTCGTTGTTTAATTAACAGCAGGCACCCCAACCAAGTTGACTGTTCCCTGAGGAACTCGAGCAAAGCCGGAGGCCTTCCGAACAGATCGGACCCAGTGGTCACGCATTTTTAGTGCAAGTCCGCCGTCTGCGCCCAGCAGCTCCGATGAGGCAGCTGTGGGCAACAAGTCGAAATCACGAAGGCTGCTGCCACTTGGCTTAAATAACTGGCAAGTGCCAATGTAAACCGCCTAAGCGTTCATCCCAGATGTTATCCTCGCACCATGCACCGAAGTGCAGGAAAGCAAATCAGTCTTGTCTGTGGCAAGAAGTTCAAAACAAAATCCGGGGGGGGTCCGGACCGTTGTTGTTCGTAGTGACGCCGTAGTGGAACACCACCGAGCAAAACCACTAACTTCTAAAGCAAACAATGACTTTGAACCGCCAAGTTTCCGGGCGGCCAGGGTCTTTCGCGCGCGTAGAACACTCCCCACATCGGCGGGCCTTTTCCCCTTGCCCTCGCTCTTGCCCTTGACGGCTCGCCGCTTCTTGAAGGCGTCCTTGGTCGAGGCAGGTCGGTATCCACTCTGGGCCAAAAGTATACCCGATGGCTGGCGTGCCTTCAGAGCTGGTTGTATCAACTGTTGATACGGGCTTTAAACAACAACACGGTTGAGGAAAATGACCCTTGCTGCGATACCAAAGCACGATTCCCATGCCTCCGGCTACGTTGTCACTTTTGGAAAGTGGCTCTGAAGCCCGTGGTCCCATGCAGCCCTACAAGGAACACACTGTTCTTTGTTGAAGAAGCAATGATGTTGTGCGTTCCACGTTACCCTGCAGGAGAGCCAGGAGAGTATCCTCTCTGGGCTGAACTTTTTTGATCCTCCTTTTCTTATTTGGGCAGGTTGTGGTTCGGCGAGCGTTTTTCTTCCTGGTTCGGCGTGCACCAAAATTCCATACTTTACAGCATGATCGAACACAATGCACCTGTTTTTTCACCGGCACCGTCAACATCCCCAGCATCGTGTTTGACACTGAGGCTATGACGGGGTCCCCCAAAGATAGATACATCCAAAGCTGGCCATCACAAGTGGATCCTCCAAATCAGCTAGAAAACTAGAATGGGATTGTGGGGTAATATCAGACCAACCAACCCCATCATAGAAACACAATTATTCGTACTTGTGTAATTAGATCCTTCCAGGAGTCAATCGTATCACTTCTATTCCCCAAAGCCCCCCTCCCTTCGGTTTCATACAAGGTGCTATTTTTGGGAAGCAGGGCGAGGGGGCGCGAGTTGTTCGTGACCAAGTTGCATTCTTTGAGGTTTCCGCTGTCTGAGACACAATCAACATCTGGTACGACAGGAATCTCAAAGGATTACCACTGAGTCTTCAACGACTTTCTACCTGTATCAGTTTACTTCCCAAACTCGGCCATGGAAAAGCCCAAAAGCTTTGCTTTTTGACCCCCACAAACCATGAACACAGGTTCACCAAGACCAAGACAAACCAACATAGAACTCCAGTGGGTTTGTCGCATCCTGTGTGACATATGCAAAACACCATAGGGAAACCAGAAAAAGGCGAACACTTCAGAGACGCACAGCTCGCGGCCTTCGGCTCCGTCGAGTCTTCGTGTCTTCGAGTCTTCGAGTTGTGGGGATCCCGTCTGAGGCCCCCTGCCGCGTCGCAGAGGTGGCAGTGGGTGCAGTCCTGGGCATTGCGGCAGCCCGAAGGCTTCCAAAGCCAGGCGCAGGGCCGGCAGGTGCCCAGCGCGTGGTCCCGCGAACCTGGCATGAAAGGAGGTGGGGGGGTTGGTGGGGTGAGGTGGGGGGATCCTTAGCTTTTTTGGGTTACAGTTTGGATGGTGAAAGGAAATGACCTGAGAGAGTGCGCTGCAGGAAGCTCATGTGGTCTGAAACATCACCTCTTTGAGCGAACTTGAAGTGAGCTTCCTTTGAGCGGACTGATGTTTCAGAGCTTGGGGCCTGAACTTCAAAGCAAGCAACCAATGGGTGACCCTGAGCATGTTTGGGACATCTTGGTCTCTTGGACATTAGTTTTGCATTATTTAAACGCCTTCCTTTGGTAAAACTAGTCGCCAGCACTTTTGGAATGAGACATGTCAGACCAGTGCGTCAAATCAGAATCAACAAGCAAGCGCCTTGATTCGATCGCTCATCTCGCTCCCTGTCCAAGAGCCAACCAAGGTGCAGGAATTCTGCAACTGCCAATCAGAAACCAGGACTCTGGGAATTGCCCACTGTGAAACTGGAAGGGCTCGCCAAAGATTTCACTGCATCACAAACAAGAGCAATCCCCCCCATGCGCACAACCCCGATCCAACCGGCCCCGAAAAAGGCAAGTCCAAAGCTGGGATCTGAGCAGAAAAGATCATGATTGGTGAACAAACAGACAAACAAACAGACAGGCAAATAACCAAACGGACGGACGGACGAACACTTGACGCAAGCGTTGACGGCCGCTGCCAAGTTACCTCGTGTCGGATGCATGCCGCCCAAAGTGATTGCTTGCCGAACTGAGACTCGATGCGGCTAGCTAGCCTGTCTGCCAGCATCAAGGTCACATCAAAGACTCCTCTTGGAAGACGCCAGCACCAACAGAACGACAATGCAAGCTTCACGCTGCTTTTCCAGCTCCTCCAGACATGTTGAGGGAACTTGATGTTAGCACCCTCAGGGGCGCTCAAGACCATCGTATCGTACTTCGGCTCGGGCGTGAGGAAAAGACCGCCAACTGACTCCAGGACTTCCAGAGGAGGAGCAGGTCTTTGCGCAGTGGGAACCGCTGCCCGGACTACGTGCGACCCCGCTCCCATCGCAAAGGTCCACTTCCCTTGCAGTAGGTTCAATTCAATGGGCAACCTACATCAAAGTGCAAGATCATATCAGGTGAAGACATCGGCGCCAAGCGCCGCGAATCCAACCACCAACTAAAGTAAAAC